GATTGACGTCTGAAACAAAAGTACTCATCACTACTGATATGATTTAGTATATGAATCACTGGTATATTTACAGGTAGTTTAGGATATAATGATTGCAATTATAGGAATATTCTGCAGAAATTAATACCGATTTGCATTTGAGGTTCACTTATAGTCATCACAAATAGGCTGTAAATTTGCATTCAATCACAATATAATTATAGATAATATTGACTTTAATTTAATTTATAGCTTATAATGTAATTAAATGAGTGGTTTGTGGGATCAATACAATCACACAAATATTAGTGACAATAGTATCACTCATTATATCATCACTTTTGATGCAATACTGGCATCAATGGAGGCAAAGAATATTCTGTCATTAAATGAGATAATATACTAATGATTGCATCCAAATGTATGACACAATCAATACTCGTGTGACAATTGATGGCAAGTAATGCGAGGGAATGGGAGTTAGACATGAGATAATGGACTCAATGAATACGCCAATGGATAGGAAAAGTGGGATCAAATGAGTGACAATGAAATGAAGACTCACTGTTGTTGTAAGTGTTGGTCAACTCCTGTTCCCAAATGATGGACTGGGATGTGGTGTTGAGATGGAAGCGACACTTCTTGCCGTTGATGACCATCGGATGGAAACCAATGGAGTTGTTATTATTGAGGTTATCATCGATGGTCTCCGAGTGATGGACACCACTCGGACTCAGCTGTAGGACCACCGAAGAAGTCATTGTCTGTCAGTCGTCTATCTCTGCAAACTCTTCGCTCAACACAGGGATGGCATATGTGTTAAGATGTCTGTCCTCTGCATCCACTCAATCACTGGTGTCTTAAGGACTGAAATGAATTCAAAAATCGATTTCTTATTTCAGAAACTCTTCTCTCAATTGGTTTGGAGTCGGAGTACAGAGAGTCTGAGTCTCACATACAGGAGCTGTAAGAGCACTGGGAGTCTGCGATCAGTGCATTGCCTATTGCTATAGCGCTAGCACTGGCGCACAACATACCTGTGCAACCCATGCATAATATCACGTGTATCGCTGAGCTCCCTGTGCTGTCAACACCACTACCCCTACCTCTGGAGAACACATTTGAAAACATTGTTCACTATATTCTCGATATAAACTGGTTTTCCATACACTTTTCGAGTGATGGAGGGCTAAGTGATAGGGGGAACGGGTGGCCATACATATCAAGCACCACCACATCAAGTCTCAAGACTTATAGGTGGATAAGCGAGTGGTGTTTAACCCCTTTGTTATTATTGGCAATGCATTTGACACAATATTTTTAAACTTAGGGTTAAGAATATTGAGGGGAAAGGGATGTGAAAATGTGTAATAATAGCTTACATACCGTTCAGGTGTCCGTAAGAGTGTTATGATGACAATGGCATGGGATGTGTGATCAGAGCATCAGTGTAGGCTTACAATGAGTTACGGATTTGAGAAATAAATTATTAAATTAAATTCAAATGTTAACCTAAACTGTCAGCCCTTATCACCCATTGGTATACATGTTTCCAACGCAAACAGGTTTTGCATGTT